GGGGCCGCCGGGTGCGCGGGGCCGCCCCCTGCCGGCCGGAGCCGCGGGACGCGGAGCAGGACAGGCCGGGCCGTGCGGCCCCGGGGTCCGGCAGCGCTGGGCACGGGAACCCCCGCCCCGGGCTGCTGCTCCTCGCAGCCGGCTGAGGGTGGGATCACGGGACACCCCAGCTCCGTGCTGGGAGCTGCCCATCCCGAGTGCCACGGCCCGTGTCCCACACGCAGGCTGCTGCCGGGGGGTGCTGGGCGCTGCCTCGCTCCTGCCCGGCCCCCCCAAAACGGCCCGGCGGGAAGGAGGGATGCTCCTGCCGTGGTCCCACACCATGGCGAAGGGCTCTCCTCCTGCAGCCCAAACGTGCCATCCTTAAGCGGCCACGGAGACGGGCACAGCCAGTCGATGGGATATGGCCGGGTCCTCTGTGTGTTTGGACATCCCCCTGCGTGTCCAGCCTTGCTGCTGGGTACGTGACCCCAGCCTGTGCTGCAAGCCCCGCTCCCCGTTCCAGCCCAGCGAGACACCTGCTTTTCTGGCCAAACCAGACTCCAGCAGCCAGGTCGGGAATCTGGGTGTGATGGTATGAGCACACGGTGCCCTTCCCTGAAGCTCCTGCCTGCTTACAGCTCAGTCTTGTCCTGCTCCCGGAGCCTGCCGGCACCCTGGAGAGTGGAGCAGGACGTGGGAAGGGAGAAGTTGTGGCTGAGGAGGGCTGGAGAGGTGCAGCTCTACAAGGGCATCCATCTCTTGCACTGCCCGTTCCCAAGCTAAAGGGGCTGAGCAAGTGTGTAGCAAGGGGACAGGGGCATAATAAAGGATGCAGGAAGGTTTCACAGAGGCCAAAGTGTTTTCCCTAACTCTGTGTTTGTTTGTGCTCAGGTCAGAGCCTTCCCAGCCCCGGAGAGGTGCTTGCTGCCGAGGAGCTGCTTACTTTGGCCTCAACTGAGAGGCCTCAGCCCAGGGTAAAGCAGCCCTGAACACTGCCCTGTTTGTGCTTCGGGAAGGGGCGTTTGTGGCTGTCCCGTCATGGTGGGAGCAGGCGAAAGAGCTGAAGGTTGTTTTCACCGCAGCGCCTGCCACAGGGGATTCTCCAAACAGGATCCCACCTCATCCAGATACGTGCAGAGCAGCAGGTAACCCCCACACTCCTGGTGTGCCTTTCTGGGGGGCCTCAGACTGAGCCACAGCACAGTGACATCTAAAATGTGCCACCTCCCAGCCCCATATCCCTGTACTTCCTCCGCAGGGTTAGGAGCAGCTGCTCACCCTGTGCAGGTACTCCATGCTGAGGGGTGATGGCAGCAGCTTCCAGACAGGATGGAGCTGGACTCAGTTTTAGCTGCCCTACCTAAAAGTCCCCAGCCCCGTTCTTTGCACAGAGCTGTGCGTGCCTCCATATGCACGAGCGGGTGCCCACAGGGACAGGGAGTTCTGCCAGCTCCTGTGATTGCTGGCATTGCCTTGATGCCCAGGGCCTGGGAACTTGAGATTTTAACAAAATGTCCTTCTCCTAAAGTCATGGAGTAAAGCTGGGACACGAGGAAATCTGGAAGGGCAGTATGCCACTCCTGGTCCCCTGAGAAGTGCCACAGCCACTACGGAGGAGGGACACCCATGGGCACTGGCAGGGCAGTGCTGTGCTCTCGCTGGGAGTGATGACAGCAGGTTTGGTGTGACTTGGCCCTGGGGTCTTGTGCATGTCCGTGATATTCTGGGGACCAGGAAGAGCAGGCTGGGCTGGGGTACAAGGCTGCTTCCATGTGGTCAGGTCCATCTGGAAACCCCAGTGGAAGGGGGAGAAAGAATATAGGTGAGGGGTACTCCTTGTGTCTCTTGAAGTCTCTGCTGTGAGCCACCAAAGTCCCCCTTGGAATCAGGGAGGAGTGGGAGCCTGCTCTGGTTGGTGACTGGCAGCACCCCTGAGCCATGCTGGGCGATGCCAGCCATGGTGGCAGCAAAGCAAAACCCTCCAGGAGCTGCCACAGCAGCAGCTGTAGCTCCCCATGGGATGCTCAGCCACTGGACAAGGGGATCACCCTGGCACTGGCTCCGCACCCTTGGCAGTGCCGACCCAGTGCCAAGACCCACAGGGCCCAGAGCCCACTTGGTGCCTGGGGGACCCAAATGTGCCCTGAGGAGGAGCAGCTGCCACTGCTGTGCTGGCCCTGTGTCCCCTGGGAGGGGACAGTGTGTGCTCAGCCACGTGGGAACGCACCGCCCACGGTCCAAAGGGCAGCTGAGCCCTGCACAGGTGGCCCAGACTTTGCCTGCAGATGAATGACTCGTCTGCCTGCAAAGCAGGCAGGACCCATCACGAGACCTGCCACGTCACTGTCAGTCCCTGCTGGACAGAGGGTAACGTGCTGTGGAGTCATCCCTCAGGTCACCTCTCAGCCCTCCTGGGGCTATGTGGCCAGCAGACCTCTCTTGGCAGGGATGAGTAGTAGCTAAGGTCAAGGATGCAAAAGCTGTTTGTGAGCGTCTTAATTCCCCCTCTGGGTTCCATGCCAAAACACCTCCCTCACCTCATGATTACATGTTCTCAAGTGCCACTGGCCTCTGGAGAGGTTGTAAGTTGGTGAGTGCTTTGAGCCCCTCTGCTGAAATGCAGGAATGAGGAGCTGGATGCCATGGCACTACAAGCTTTGGGTATGCTGAGGACCCGCTGACTTGGCTGTCCCCTGCCCTTTGCCAAAGGACCCCACTGGGCATTTGTTTAGTGTCTGCTGGGCTCTGAATGTTTGAATACACTGCTAAAGCTGTTTGGAAGGAAGGCTGGAAAAGGTGACAGGCTGGGACTGAAATAGCTGGGACTGATCTAGACCTCCACTGGAGATATTCGAATATCAAACTATCCTGGGCACTGTGCCCCCACTTGCAGCTTGGGGCTGCCTCCAGGTGTGTCTGATTCTCTGTGGGGTGGGACCATCACTTGTGCCGCAGAAATAGGCTTCAAAATAACTAAACAGCACAGTCTGCTACAGGTTTGAGCTTGCCTGGGACTGTGAGGATGCACATGGATCCTGCACCTCATCCTGTCCCTCGGGTAGGGCTCTTCCCCTGCATCTCTCCCCTGTCGCTCCACAGGGGTGACATATCACAGTTATGGCTCTGGCTTCGTTTCTCTGCCAAGATATCTCCCAGCCTCCCCCTCTGACCCTGGAGCTGAACCCTCCCACCGCAGGAATGTTTTTCAGGGGGGAGGTTGGCACAGTTCCAGCTGCTGAGTTTTTCCATGTCCAGAGACTGTCTCCTGCCTTAAATGGCCCCATGATACAGGCTGTGTCTGTTCTCCTGCAATCACCTATTTAAGGATTTTTTTGATTCAGTCCCCAGCACAAAGTGGGACGATACCAGCCCAGTGCCTTGCAGCTGAGCTGAGCTCCATGGTGGGATACTGGAGCAGACAGGGCTGGTTGCCCCGGGGTACCCTGCAGGGGTGTGCCTGGACACGGGCAGTCCAGTGCTGCTCCAGCTCTCCCAGGCCTCTTCTTTCCTTGTGTGCAGGTCAGATTCCCTGGATCAGGTCTGTGTTCTGGTCCCAGGGAATCCTGGGCCACCAGCAGCGTGTGAGCCAGGAGGTGCATCCCCTGTGCAGCGATGTCCTTGCTGTGGGCAGCCCATGACACCGAGGGATGCTCCTGGGCCCCTCCAGCACAGCACCTGCTCACGGCCTCACCACCCAGCCCCCTGAGCCCTCCTGTCCTCCACAGCATCTTCCACCACCCAGGAAACCTTGCAAGCTCAGGTGAGTCCCCTACAGGCTCAGTGGAGGCCCCACTGTCTGTCCACGTGCTGCAGTGCTGGTGGTGCAGCCAGGGTGGGGAGTGTGCCATGATCCACACGGGTCTTTATCTCGAGGCTGGATATTATGGGAGCACCAGAAGCTCCTGGTGGGGATGTCACTGGTATCAGTATCCAAGCTCCCTGTCCCAGGGCACAACCTGCCCTATGGAGAGGATCCTGCCCCAGGATGCAAGCTGGAAATTTGCTGCAGACCCCATAGATGCATCCCCAGGTGGACGGCCCCTACTCAGGACAGAGAGGACCTAAATGCTGGTGAGTTGCCATTTTCCCTTGTGGCAGCATCTGAGGGACACATGGGACACGGTGGGCAAGACTTGGGAGCTTACGAGGGAGAACAGGGACAATGGGAAGGGAGACAGTGGGAAGGAGCAGCCAGAGAAGGGGGAAACTTGTACCCTCCCAGACAATGTGCTGAGATGAGGAGGTGCAAAGGCTGCTGGAGAAACCCAGTAATGCTGCCCAAGGCTGGGCAGAGCAGTCCAGGAAATTGGGATGGGGTCTGAGGAGCCCAGGCTGGACTGGCATCTGCCAGAGCAAGGTTTAGGATTCACTGAGCAGAGGGAGAAGGATGTGACGACTGCTGTGGAACTCGGTCGAGCACCTGGGGTAGGAGAGGTGTGATGTGGAAAGGCACACGCTTGCAGGGGTGTGACCTCTGGAAGTCACAGCATGTGGGGCAGCTGTGAAACTGAGCTCCCTCAGTCCTGGCATTTCCAGACGGTCTGCATGGATCAGGGAAGCCTCATGGCAAAGCCTCACTGCCCACTCTGGGCTCTGGGGAGAGGGACAAGCCAGCCCAGCCAGGGCCCTGCCCAGCTCCAGGGCAGGGGGCAGCAGGGGCCTGTTCTGTAGGGGAACTCCACGAAGGCCAAGGTATCACATAGTAAAGATGCTTTTGTTTTCTAATGTGCTTAAAAAAAAGTTTCCCAACCCTAGGAAACTGGATGTCAGCAGTGTGCTCTGCCAGCTGCAGGGTGCTCCAAGGTGGGCCAAGTCCAACCTTCAGCTGCCCAGTAAGCTCAGCTCAACCCTCAGCTGTATGTGGCATGTCCCAAGGCAAAGACATAGGGAGAAAACCAAACAAAACCATTGCCTGTGGGATCGAAGCATGGGTTGGCATGGAAGATGAAAGGTGAAAAATTCCAAGATTCAGGAGTGAGGAGTCGTACGGTGGCAGAACACTGAAAAATCCAACTCGCTGGAGGGCAAAAGCAATGTACCACTGGGGAGAGCTGGTGACCAGGGTGGTTGTGGCTGGAGCCACACACCAGGTCCCCCGTCTCTCCATCAGCCTGAACCTCATATGGCAGCCACTTCCTTCCCCTTGCAGCTCTGGGACACAGAGCAAGAGGTGTGAAGGGACCTGGAATTTCTTAACAGGGATTTTATTGTCTGCCCAGGGAATATTTTTGTTCTGTAAATGAGGAGGGGGATGTGGGATGAAACACTTTTATAGGAAGTGTAGCTGGGGAAAAATTTGGTGTGCACAGGTCAAAAAGAGGTTGTAACTCACTGCTTTAGCTGGTGCACTGCAAGAGGATCCTCCTCTCTGTGCTCACCTTCCCATTTGCCTGGTAGAGAAGCCTTTGTTCAAACCCTAACCCTCAGCCTGGAAACACTGTGATTTCACAGGAGATATTCACTCCAGGAGCCTTTCCTGCCCTCTTTCCATGAGCCTCCAAGCAGGAGCCCATGTCCTTGGGAAGAGCAGTGTGATGTCGGGGCTGAGCACTTCTTCCTGCAAAATGAGCTTGTCCTACTCTGGAACACAGGGAAGGAGGGTCCCTGGGCCCAGCCCTGCAAGACGTGCATGTTCCCTTGGGAACACGTGAGTCCCTGAGGAGTGACATTCCTGCTACCAGCCACCCTTGCACTCGTCTCCCTGTTTTTAAATATCTGCCAGGGAGGGGATGGAGGGGAAGGGAAACAGCTGAGCCTGTGGCATTCCCTGTGTATGCCTGGCTGGCCTTCTCATCTCTCATCCCCACCACTTGGATCTAGTGGAGGTGCTCCTGCTCCTGCAGAGGCTGTGCTGCTCTCCTGGCACATTCCTGGCACTGCTGACCTGTGGGATCACCTGCTTTGGCCTTAGTTTGCATGTGGCCATGGAGGGAACCCAGCACTAGGTTGCACCAGGTGCTTTCCCAGCCCTCGGGTGAGAGGGTGAAGAGGGCAGGGGAAGCTTCAGCCCACGCTGTCCTCCCAGAAACGAGGGCCAAAAAAAGCTTTACACCTCCATCATGAAGTTTTGCTGTTTCTCAGTTTCTGCAGTGAAATTTGCTTTTTCTTTTCCCAGGGGAGCTCAGACAGCAGCTGTCGGGAAGAACCTGGGGGGGACCAAGGCACCCACCACCTTTGTTCACCCCACTGGAAGCCCCTGATCCCACACCACGTTTCCATCATGTGATCAAGAGTTAATTTTGACTGTCTGTGTCTCAGCTGCCGGGAGCGTTTGGACTTTCCCTGTTCCACCAGCCCTGTCAGATGGCAGGAGAAGCTCCTTGGCTGCCGACCACGTTTGTCTTCTCCAGCAGGCCGTGGCCTCTGCACTGGTGTCACAGCACTGAGCCGAGATGCTGCTGAAGGTTGTACCCAGAACACCTGCCAGCCAGGCTAGGAGAAGGTGGGTCTCTTCTTGAAGCCGTTTCCCATCCATTCCCAAGCACTGGCTGTAGGAAATGGTGTTTTCTGTCATGCAAAGGCTTCGTGGGTCTGAACCAGGACCAGGAGATGCTGAGGCTTCCTGCTGTACCCTGCCTGGGCATCCCTGCTGGAGCAATCACTTAATCTCCTGTTTCTGAGCAAAGTTGAAATTTGAATGAAGCCACATGAAATGAGCAAATCAAATACAAATGTTTTCAAAAGTGGCATTCCCATCTCAATTAATTTTCTTCATCTTACTTAAAGTTTGGACTTTCAGTGTTTGAGCCACTAAAGAGGGGGCTCAGAGCCAGGTGGAGGAGACCTGGACCTGGCTGTGCCCTCCACAAGCCACGCCAGGGGCTGTCCTAGGTGGTCCTGGCTGTGGCTCCATCCGTGCTTTTGGGAGCTGTGGCACTGTGCCACCTGTGCCAGATTTCAAGGCTCTTCCAGGCGGGATTGGGGCTGGCAGGAGATCTGAGCAGTCGCTCTCCTGCACCAGGTCACACGGCCCCTGCTGGATGTCACCGTGTCCCCCTGTCCCTCCCTGCCAAGAGCTGCCCAGACGCTCCTCGGCGCCAGCCCACGTTAATTAACCCTAACGAGGCTCCGTGCACAGCCAGCGCGTCGGTGATCCGGGAATCTGCAGCTGGATCAGCTGGTCACTGTGCCCGCGGTCACAGCCCGGCATGGCGTCCCTCGGGATTTATCGGAGTGTGGGAGCGGGAATCAGCGTCAATGCAGGGGGATGTCCGGGACCCACATTTGCGACTGCAGAGGCACAGCCCATGTATCAGAGACAGTTTGCTGAGTGATGAAAGAGCAATTATCAACTCAGCTGGAGGCAGAGTTGCTCCTGTTTGATTTTCCAAGGAAAATTATTCCAACCTCTTTCCCTGCCTCTGCCAACCCCCCAGCTTGTTTCCTTTCGGTGAGAATCGCGGAAGAAATAAAAGAAATCGAGGATTTTTTAAGGTTTTATGCTGGTTTGCTGGATTCTCTCCTGCAAGTGGTTAACGGTTCATCTGAAGTCAGAGGAAGGTCTCTGAAGCAATCTTGCAATTTACAACTTTTCCTTTACCAAGTAAGAAACAGTCAGGAAATTAAACAGGAAATTGTGTCTGGAAGGAACAAAAGTTGCGTTGTCAGAACCTGCTTATGAAAGATTTACTTTGTTTTAACCAGTAAGGAGCCAAGATCAATAGTCAGAATAGGAAGGAGTTTGTGTGAATTAAATCACACGTGGAAAAAAAAAACTAAACAAAAACCCAACACTTGGTAAAACAAGAAGCCTTTGTAAAGAGCAGATAGGGATGAATGGGAGAGAAGTCTTAGCCACTGCAGCAAACAAGTGCAGGAAAGTGCTAGAAGGAGAAGGCCAAGTGTGTACCCCAGGATCAGATGTCCCTCCAGAAATCACACACTGCTCCACGGCCTCAGTTCCCAAATCTCTGGGAGATACTCCACAGCCAGTAGGACACACAGGGCCTGTTTGAGTGCAGTGGACAAGCACTGCCCCATCACTGCACAGGTAAAACAGCAGCACCTTCTCTCTCCTCCTGCTCAGAAGGTGCCCGTTGTGTGGCCATCTCCAGCTCTCCCTACCCATGGTACCAAGCACCACAACCCAGCTTTTATTCCCAGTCAGCAGAGGGGTGTTCCCCACCCAGTGGATGCAGGGTGAGTGGTGACTCAAATTCAGCCCTAGAAGGGCCAACCATTTGTGGTTTGTGGGAATTCCACCAGCTCACCTCACCCTGGGGTTTCCTGTGAGGAATTTGGCCAAGAGCAAGCCAAAAAACCTTGCTGCAAACATACAGCAACTTTGAGAATCCCGTGCAAATACTTGCTCCCAGGTAACCCCACAGGCCATTGGGTTTTGGATTAATTATGGGCTCTAGTTGGGAGATTGGGTGATCTGCAATTGTTTTTACCATTATACTGCTCATCTTATCAGCGGTTGAGAAACAAGCTCAGCAAGCACTGGTATGTGGGTGTGTCACAGATGATGCACTGAAACCCCTTCTGGCTGACCCAGGCTCTTTTGGTTCATGCCTGGTGGGGACTGACTTGAGGGGGCTTTTCCTCCAGGATCCTGACCAGTCACTGCTGTGGTTCCCCTGAAATGGTCTGTGCTCTGCGACAGCTCTTCAGCTGCCTTTGCTCTGAGCTGTGTGTGATCAATCTCCCGCTGGTAATGGGATCCTGGCATGCTGGAGCTGTGCCAGGGGAGAGCAGCCACACGGGCTGAGCAAGTGTGGCTTCAGAGCCTTCTCCTCTGCTCTTGGGGAAAAGCTCCTGGAGATGAGGCTGGAGGAATTACAGTCCTGAGAGCACAGCAGAGGCTGACAATGGAGACGGTCCCGGCCGCACACCATGGCAGTGCTGATGGAAGTGCTCTGGCTGGAAGGTCTTGGCAATGGGTTAATAAATGCTTACCATCTCTCCCAGCAGACAGCTAAGCAGTTGTTTGAATTTCCAATGCTTCATGGACAGATTTCTCTACTGCTCTGGTCCTGGCCATCCCCAACACGCAGAATTTGCGGGATGGGGAAATGCTCTGTGCCTGCTGGGTGAGGTGTCCATGGGTGAGTCCTCCAGCTGGAGGCAGGACAGGTGTGCCCCTCGTCTGGCACCTCCCTATGCCGACACTGCTCTCCCTCACAAGGGAAGGTGCCATAACTCTGGCAGCATCCACAACCGAGACAAGTTCTACACAGCTCCCTGGGGTCATGTCCAGGCAGGAGGCAGAGGGAGGCACCTGCAGCCGGAGCTCACGTCACCTTGCCCCCTCTGGCCCCGCAGAGAGAGCTGTGGCACTCCCTGGTGTGGTTACAGCAGCTGCAGGTGGGACATGCCCCGCTGCTCCCACAGCTCGGGGAATTCCCCACCGCTGAGGCAGCTCCCTGTGGCCGGCATGGAGGCGTGTCCCTGGGCACAGAGGTTTTTCATGGCCCTGCTCTGGGTCCCTGGGGGAACAGCCGGGCCCTCCCCAGCATACCTCTGCTCATAACCCTCCCCCAGAGACCCCACACACAGCCTCGGATCCACACCGTGCCATGTCTTAGCTCTGGCGCCACAAAAGGCTGGAAAAACCCTCATGGCAAAGGTGCTGTCTCATGCCTTGCTGGTGCCGTCAAGTGGGTTCTCAGCATTTTTCAGGACTTGCCTCATTCTCATAACTGTCTGGGCCCGCTCCTGGGGCGACAGGACCCAGCCAGGTAGTGGAGGGTGCTGGGACAGCTGGGCTCCCCACTGACCCACTGGGAGAGCTGCCAGCGGGCACTCGCTCTGGGAACACGGAGCAGGCACTGCCAGAGCCACCCTCCTGGCCACCTTCATCTTGGTATAACCCCTACTGTGGCTCAGTGAGCCTGTTTTCCTCTGTGAGATGCCCGTGTTAAATCCCATGGGTTTCTTTGAAACTTACCCGTGACTCACAGAGGAATTCCCCGTGGAGTCCCAGCCTCTCCCAGCAGCTCAGAGCCGGGTTTCTCGTTAGTGCATGTACATATCTCCAAGGCTGGTGTCAAGAGTTTGGTGCTGGACTTTTCAGTGGTGTCCAGTGACAGTACAAGGAGCAACGGCCATAAACTAAAACACAAGAAGTTCCACCACAACATGAGGAAGAACTTCTTTCCATGGAGGGTGGCAGAGCACTGGAACAGGCTGCCAGGGAGGTTGTGGAGTCTCCCTCTCTGGAGACATTCCAAACCCACCTGGATGTGTCCCTGTGTCATCTGCTCCAGGTGACCCTGCCTTGGCAAGGGGGTTGGATTGGATGATCTCCAGAGCTCTTTTCCAACCCCAATGATTCTGTGGTTCTGGCTAAGCTGCAAGGTGTGGGGCAGAGGGCACTGCTTTGCACCCTAGCTCACAGCTGTGCTGTTATCCCCCATTTTACAAACAGACATATCAGGGATGCACCAAGGATCCTCCTGCGACAGCCCCCTCCTCAGGCACTGCAGGGCAGGCTGTCTCTGTCACAGGATGGTCTGTGGTTTGCTGGGAGGGAGATTAAAACCCCAGCCTGTGTGGGGATGGGGCACAAAGCTGGAGCTTCTCCCTCATCCCTTCTCCATGCGTTGCAATGCAGGCCTGTCTGCTGTCTGTGGCACGTGGAGCTCTTGGAAGGGCAAGGGGTGCTGGGTGTTAACAAAAGCACAGAGTTACAGGCTGAAAAATCAGGAAAAGAACAAAGACTCTCCAGAGGTTTCCAGTGCTGGCTGACTCCAGTCACGCAATCCTGCAGCTCGGCAGCCCCTCGCTGAGCCCTGCAGGCACCCGGGAAGGCTCTAAGGGCTGGGTGATGGGGCTGGAGCTGCTCTGGGGAAAACAGGGCCCTCTGTGACCTGGGAGGGCCCTGATCCCGTCCGGGTTGCCGTGAGTCACTCCCGCCCAGCAGGCAGAGCTGTCCTTCCTCGTTCAGAGTCCTGACATGTGCACGTTTCCAGCGTGGCATCCCCGTGACTAATCCACCTGTGCCTTCCCGGGCTCCCCGTGGGCTGTGTCGTGCCTCGCTGCTGCCACCGCGTCTCCTGTCCTTGGGAACCCAATCCCCAGCGGTGTGTGAGCCGCAAGGATGGTGTTCCTGCCTCATGTAAAGCCCACCTCATGCCACACTGCAGATGGCCAGAATTAGGCTTGGTTACCTGCCAAATGCCTGTTGTGTTTGATAGTAATTGTTGTGTTTTTCTACCAGTGCACCCAAACGTGCCAGTGCCAGGGAAAGCTCCTCCCTTCTGTCCCACA